GCTTTTGCTTATTCACGGCATTTCTCCGACTGCAAAGACTTATATACGACTTGAGTGTTGCAGCACAAACTTGTGAAGTTTTTGCTGCAGAAGTAATGATCGGCACAGCACAAATTTTGTTGTACAGTGCTTCTGTCGTGTCTGAGTTTTTGCACCAGAAATAATGTTGCGTATGAGTAAAGTCGATAAGTTTTTGCTGTACAAGTAATGTCACGTATGACTGATGTCGTTACACTTCAGTCAGTAGCAGTTTTTGCCGTAGCATTAATGTCGTGACACCATGCAAATATGACACGCCACTGTATTTACAATGGGGTCATAAAATACGCTGTTATATTTGTGAAGAGATCAGTGCACGTCAACGCACATCTTTTGTACAACGATAATCCTTGTAGCTTTTCTGTGGATACGCACACGCTTAAAGACTCGAGCATCATGCCTCTCGCAGTGACCGGAAATATACGTTCGTATCAACAACATGAAGTGCTATTGGTTTTTCAGGACTCCACTCCAATTTGTTTCATTATCGCCGATGATCGGATTTGCTGCTCCCCAGAGAAAACAACTGGAGCGCTACTCACGCCAGGCAGCAGTGGAAGGAGGCGGGAGGCTCCTCATCGCGACAGTCAGATCACAAGTGTAAGTGGGTTGTGATGTATGCACATGCACCAGTTCAGCTGCTGGCAGAAGTGCTGTTCCGTGCCCACGTGTCGCGATCGCAGCCCTCCATCCGGCGGAAGTTGCCCGGCAACCCGGCATCGCGTCATTGCCTGTGACTGGCCGTCTGCGTCGGTTACAGGTGTGCATGAGTACTACATCAACTCACGACTGTTCCCGGTGCCGCTGTACACGGACGACGAGGGACGCAGCCGATGTCCCGTCTGCCTGGCTGTGGGGCCGTCACCGAAGGGCGCGCCACGCCGCGGCCGCTCACAGTCGCCCGGCGCCACCAGAGCCGGGCGGCCCCGCTCCCGCTCCCCCGTGGCTCCCCGGGCGAGCCGCTCACGTGCCAGCTCTACTGAGGTGTTTAGAGACGCGCGCTCGCGCTGCTCCTCCGCCACGTCCACCAGGGCGGTGCGGTCCCGCTCCCGCTCTGCTGCGGCGGGCCGTTCCCGCTCTCGCTCCCCCGGCTCTAGAGCGGGTCGCTCCCGCTCTCGTTCCCCCGCCTCTAGAGCGGGTCGCCCCCGCTCTCGCTCCCCCAGCTCTAGAACGGGTCGCCCCCGCTCTCGCTCCCCCACCTCCTCCAGGGGAGACCGCTCCCGCTCGCCCTCCAGAGGGAGTCGCGCCCGGTCCTCCACTCCGCCGAGTACGCGCCATCCGGTCCGATCGGTCCGCTCGCCGTCGCCCACGCTGGTCCGAGCGTGCCGGCGCGGTGGGCCCACACCGCGGCGCCCCGCCGTCCGGACCGGGCGCGGGCGGCGCACCAGCCCGTCCCGCAAGCGCAGCAGCGTGTCCTGGCACGACGAGGTGGGAGGCCGGCTGAGCTCCGCCGGCAGCCGTTCCGGCAGAGGCGGCCGCGCTGGCAGCACCAGCCCCCCCAGCAAGACGCGCTCGGGACGAACGGGTCGCGCCGGCAGCACCAGCCCCTCCAGCAACACGAGGTCGGGTCGGACGGGTCGCGCCAGCCGCACGCCGTCGCCCAGCCGCAGCGCGAGCTCCGTGTCGCGCCAGATCTACTGCCCCAACTGTCAGCAGTCGATGCTGGCGGCGTCGGACGCCAGCGACGTGGAGCGACCACGCGGCCGGCCGGCGCGGCCGCCGCCTCCGGCGGCCCCGCCGCTGGCGCCGTCGGCGCCGGTGGCCGTGTCCCCCCGCTCGTATTCGCGGACGTGCTGCAGCCCGGCGCAGAGCCGGCGACGTCGCTCGCCCGTCACGCTGCGCTCGCGTCCGACGGCCAGCCGGCAGCCAGTGCAGGCCATGTTCACCGTGCCGACGGCGCTGTTCGGCGGCAGCGCGCCCGGCAAGGCGGCCCGGCAGGACGACGGCGGCGGCGCACCGCACGTCAGAGGACGCGACGTGGCGCTGGGGCCGCGCGGGCTCGACTGGGACGCGGCGAGCTTCGGCGAGCGCGACCCGCTGGAGCCGGACGAGTGGCCGGGTCAGGCGCCCGAGCCGAGCGCGGCGCGCCACCCGCTCTGGCCGCGCCAGCTCGACCTGCCGCTGGGCGTGCGGCCGATCGCGCGCGGCTGGCCGCAGCTGGAGCGGCGCGGAAACCTGGGCCGGCGCGCGGCCCGCCTGGAGGCGGCCGCCCGACGCACGGGGCGGGACCCGGCCGGCCGCAGATCGATCGAAACGACCGGCGCTGCCGCCGCTGGCGCCAAGAACACGTACAGCCTGCGGCGGTGTATAGGGGAGAAGATATGATGAACGGCGGTGGTCGAGTTATCATGTCGAGCGAGTAACCGTCTTGCCAAATTACACGGGCTGTGAGGTGCCTGGTGCCGGGCTGCACGCTGTTACGGGTTGCATGAAGTCTAATGATCCATGGTGTTTCGATTGCACGCGATTACCGAGCGAATACATTCATGCATTATGTAATATGCTTTCCATCTCGACGGAAGCGCTAAGTGGGTGAGCTCATTTACTCCGCACAGAACAGCAGAAGCATGCGACACTCGTGCACTCATGGAACAGCCGAGACAACTGCACGACATATCGCCTGCTACACAGCCGTGGCAGTCAGGCTGCTTGTGTGCCATCCCGGCCAGCCAGTCGACAGCAAAGCCCGGTATGTCACGACGACACGTGTGAGCCGGAACTGGGTGTCATCGAACGGTCTATCGCCGTCCTGAACATGTCTTAGGTATATTCACGTGAACACGGGGTGTCTGGCAGCGGCACTTCACCCCCCGGTCCCGAGGGCGGGCACTCCCTGTCCCGAGACGATGTGACAGTGAGACCACCCGTGTAAGGAGTGGGACCCGAGACCGTACGTCAGCGACAGGTCACGCCTGGTCCCGGGGATGTAACTGTGTGGAACTGAACACTCGTCTGCGATCGAGGCTGTCTGTGGACGGCAGGTCACGCCTCGTCCCGGGGATGTAACTGTGTAGAACTGAACACTCGTCTGTGGCCGAGGCTGTCCGTGGACGGCAGGTCACGCCTCGTCCCGGGGATGTAACTGTGTGGAACTGAACACTCGTCTGCGATCGAGGCTGTCCGTGGACGGCAGGTCACGCCTCGTCCCGGGGATGTATCTGTGTAGAACTGAACACTCGTCTGTGGCCGAGGCTGTCTGTGGGCGGCATGCCACGCCTCGTCTGCGCGCTGTCTGATGTCTGTGCACTGCATGTGTGCTTTGATGTCTGCACTATCTGTGCGTTGTTCGATGTCTGTGCACTGTCTGTGTGCGCTGTCTGGTGTCTGTGCATGCTGTCTGATGTCTGTGTGTTGTGTGTGCACTGTCAGATATCTGCGCGCCGTATATGCATATTTGATCGCTGTATGTTGTCTGATGTACATGCGCTTTCTGATATCGGTGCGTCGTCTGGTGGTTGTGGGCCGTCTGGTGTCTGTGGGCTGTCTTATGTTATTCCTCTGTCGGCTGTAAGGGGGCCTCCCCGTTCCTGGGGTCCCCAGCAGCTGGCGGCAGCAGTCGTCTCCCCGGTCGTTTGGCCCGCGCGGTCTTGGGCTGGGAAAATCACAGGATCCCGTGCGTGGCGGGCGGGCCGGCCGTAATTGGCGAATGCCCTGTTAGGCAGAAGATGACCCGAGAGAGAACCGGGCCAGCTGCCGGCAGTCACGTGACGTGCTTTGCCGGTGCTCGGCAATGAGCCGATGGCGGCGGCGGCCGCCCGTTAGCGAGGGCGTCGGCCCGGCTGCTCGCCAGCCGCTGGTAGTCAGTGCTGGGAGACGGGCGCAGTACTGACGCTGAGAACGGCCCGGCTGCCCGCCAGCCGCTGGCAGTCAGCGCTGGGAGACGGGCACAGCGCTGACGCCGAGAACGGCCCAGCTGCCCGCTAACCGCTGGCAATCAGCGCTGGGAGACGGGCACAGCGCTGACGCCGAGAACGGCCCAGCAGCCCGCTAACCGCTGGCAATCAGCGCTGGGAGACGGGTGCTGTGCTGACGCCGAGGATGGTCGCTCTGGAGATCTGAGAGTCTTTTTTGGTATTATGGAGCGCGTATTATAGATCTGATAATCTTGCATATATGCATACGATGGATTCTGACTGGTAGGCTGCGCTGGCGTATGTGCAAGCGTCCAGGCTAGTTTTGCTGGGTTATGTCGAGACCCAGAACTGAATTGAGAGATGAGACGCTCTGTCCCATTGCTGGAGATGGCCAGTATTAAGGTTTTTTTTTACTTATAAACCCGGCATGACACAATGACAAGAGCAGGCCCACGCCCAAACGGAGCATTTCATACACTTGGTCACGTTGTTCAAGTTCCATTCATTTGTCGCATCCGCCATAACCTGCTCAAAAATGATTATATTAATAAGTCAGTCAGTCAATGTAGGCCAGCAGTTTTATGAAATCAATATTTACTTAGCGTGGATTTGTACTGATCCTGTATCACTTTCAGTAGTCTGTTCTTCGTTGATTCCTACATCTGAGCTGTTTAAAAGGCCGGATTATGTCCGCTTTCTCCCTGTAAGCGCTTTTTGCCTATTTCCCCCGCATTCTCGTTCAATATGTGCGCCCTCCATCTCCACAAAATCCCCTGCCAAAATCACTATGGTATTGTAAGCGTTCGTGCCGGCCCGTACTGTGCAGGTGACCATTTCGCATAGGTTAATTTTCCCCAGTCAAATGGTCCATTACCGGGCTATTTGGCGGCCGGTGCGGCACGCGATGTCTGGGCGGAGGCAATCGTAGAAAACAACTACTGTCCAGACTGACGGGCAAAAACAGGCCGATGATAACGGGAGACGGCCGGCAGAAACAGGCTCGTGCCACAGTCTTGTAAAGGAAATGCGCTCAGAACGATAGATGATTGCATACACAAATGACGCACTGGAGGCAAACCGGAATGAGGCTGTACGCACGGTCACTGGATCTATGAGGCTGTACGGTGGGATAGGAGCGGCGTGGAGGCTGAATGCGTCGGAAACTGGATGCTCATCGTGATAGCAGTTTCCTTTCGCCTGTAATTATAATATGAAAATTGTCTATTGTATCCAACGGAATAAACACCCATTTTAGTTTGATGACAAGACATGGAAAAATGTTTTGTTTTTCTCTGTTCATGCTTAGTTGTCATAGCAGGCCCAATACATTTGGCAAATAAGTCACAGCTTAGCCTATTGCTGGACGTTGCGACGTTAACCGGCAGCAGCCGAACGGCGAAAATCGATTTGAACGATACAACCCGCGTGAAGCGCTCATCCGATACCGAATACGATTACTACAAAGACGTGGAATATTACAACTACTACGGCGTAGAAGATCCGGTGAGTCTTTGTAGTGTGTTGTGTAGTGTGTGTTTGTAGTAGTGTAGTGTGTCATGAAAAAACGTGCAAGCAAAGAGCCGATCGATATCAACGTTCTCCTCTCCTTGACTTGCTCTGTATACAGTACTACGACGAGAAGAAGGCAGAACAGGCTGAATTCAACTTCGAGAAGAGCCTGGACACCAAGACCCAGGTGCTGATCGTGGTATCAATCGTGGGCCTGCTGCTGCTCTTCTGCATCTGGCAGGTGTGCTGCTACCCGGCCATCCGACTGTGCAGCTGGTACTGTACCTACTGGGGCACCCTCATCAGGATGGCGGTGGATTCGTGCCGCGGCATCGACCCCCGTAAGTGCATCCACAGCAGGCCCAGCTCGAGGGTAAAGTCGGTAATTTTTTTTTGGGGGGGGGGGAGGCAGGCTATATTATACCTGATTGGGAGAACCACAGCAGATCAGAAAGAACTACGTTTAACTTTAAAAAATACGCAGCGATTCCAATTTCGTGAGAATGTGTGTTGATACTCTGAGCACACATCCTGCAAAGCAAATGTAGCTCAGGAGTAAGCAAAACGAATTAAAATCTGTCCAGACTGAGAGAGCTTGAATGACCATTTGGATGACGGACGTCTTGTAGAGTTCGTTTGTGTCAATGTGGCAATCCACATTGACACAATTGACAATTGACATTGACACTGGGAGAACGCCTTTGTGAATATGACGGCAGGAGTTCAGAAACAGGAGGCAAGAAGACCAGTTGCCCAACCCAAAGAATGTGAAAAGAGTGTTAGCCAGCCCCTGTTGTACATTGTGAGATGAAACAAATCTCCAGCTTTCAGCAGTCTTTCGTGACGCATTCTGCCTGATCAAATCAAAATGGCTCTCCTATTGAACATCATGGGTGCAGTATAGTCGTCAGGTCCTGGTGGTGTGCGAGGCCAGAAGTTGTCTACCTGATTGTTCTGAATCTGCGTGGGGCTTGGCCAGGAACTTACATTATGCGCTGGCACAAACATAGGCTGCAGCCTCATCTAGATGTACCCGTATGCCGCTTCTCTTTCCGTGGAATCCTGGTGACCCCGGGCGCGGGTCAGACCCGGGTCCGGGGTCTAGATGTACCCACATGACGCTCCCCTTTCCGTGGAATCCTGGTGACCCCGGACGCGCGTCAGACCGGGTCCGGGGTCTAGATGTACCCACATGACGCTCCCCTTTCTGTGGAATCCTGGTGACCCCGGGCGCGCGTCAGACCGGGTCCGGGGTCTAGATGTACCCTCATGACGCTCCTCTTTCCGTGGAACCCTGGTGACCCCGGGCGCGGGTCAGACCCGGGTCCCGCATACGTCACCTGCCGTATGCATGCCGATGAGCTTTCAGCCTACGGGTATGGTGGCAGGTCATAATAGGCTAACAGAGTGCTTTTGTTTATATCTTTTACCCGTTCTGTCATGCAGGTATGGAGTGTGTTTATCGTTCGACAAGGTAGCAGGTAATATAACCTTGCCCCGATGCAAATAAACACGATCAGCTGATAGCAAAACAGCAAAAACCTGCCTATAGCACGCATGCACTACCAACTTTTACATAGGCCTCTGCGTCTTTCTGGCAGGTTACCGTATGATGGAGAAGATGGTGACCTCGATGGGGTTCGCCATGCCTTCGTACAGCGAGTGGAAACAGTGGATGGCCGCCTACGAAGATATGATGCTGCAGATGGCCGAGGGCCAGTGTGAAGGCATCACGGACATGGTGAAGGGCTTCAAGAGCGCCATGGGGCCGATGAAGCAAATGATGGGCCAGGGCATGGACCAGATGGGTAACGTAGGTGCCATCATGGGTGGCATCGGCGACGGGCTGGCCGACTACGCCAGCGGCATGCCCATGGGCGGCATCATGTTCTAGCTGTTCCGACGTCGCAGCCGCCTGCACCTGCACGAAGCGGGAGCCATGGCCTCAGGAAACGCCGTGAAGATGTTGTTCCTGTTCCCGTCGGCTGTTTTTGTATCATGGGTCTTGCAACTTTTCAATGCGATAACTGAGGCTTTGGTAGAAGATAGCTGTGCATATATGCCGTTAATATAGATAATGATATTGACTGCGGATGCGACTACGGCGGATTGATAAGCATGACAAACCTGCAACCGCGGTTGACTGCTGTTGGACAAACCCGTAACGCGCTAAATGATCTACGAGATGTGAGTAGAGGAAACTCGCAAGTTACACAATCCATATCACCACAAGAACGCGCACTTTGCACATCAGAAGGCTTTGCGTACGACGCTAATTGCGCATAAGACACAGGGATCAATCGGCATGACCCTCATGCATCACGTGTGCATGATCAGTGCACACCGTGAGGGCAAGGCTGAGGCAGAGCACGAACATGTTCCTTTACAGTGTACGTTCATTTTCGCCTTGCCGTATATTTGTGGCCAACGTGTTTTGTGGGATAATGCCAGCCGTACCTGCCATCATAATTGTTCCAATTCCACATGAACGTTATCCCTCATATCCAACTCACCGCCGCATTGCCTCCTATTTATCTCCATATCCAGCGCTGGGCGGCGATCAGCAGCAGTTTAGCCTCCCCTCTAATAGGGCCCGGTGCGCGCGCCGCGCCGCTGCGCCGCCGCCGCCAGCCGTGGCAACCGTCAGCTGGCGGCGGCCGGGCCAGCCCCGAGAGAGGATCAGCCGCTGCACTCGGCCACGGCTGGGCTGGCTCGGCCGCTGATTGGATCCAGTTAGCCGCTCTGTCTGCCGACAGCGGCCCGGCACGCGCGCCGTCCTCGGGCGCCACCAATGGGCTGGGGGACTCACGGCCGGCACGGGCGGCGTCTCGCTTACAGACACGCTGTGCTGTGCGCAGAAGCACGCTGCCCCCTCCCCTCTGACCCCCCCCCGCCCCCGCCGCCCGGGATAAGGTGCACACGTCTGCAGGCTTAGGGCGTCGCCAAAGGAGTTCGAATTGCCCGGGCTAGCGGGGATACCAGGTGACCATGAAGCGGCATTGGCGACACAGCGCTACCTGGTGCCACCTTTGTGACGATGCCGTCCGAATATTTGTTAATGTGCATGCGCACGACCAGAACCGATCCAGGGTTCTTTCCTAGAGAGTTCCGGGAAATTCGAAGAATCTTGAGGCAGTAGAAAGATCCTAAAAAGCATCAAGACAAACAGAGCTGAAAAAAAACACCTAGGTACAAGGTGGTCAGGAGCGGGGTGTAGTTTCCTATCCAGTTAGAGCCCTAGCTTCCAACTTTGAAAGGGGAGTGGGTCAAATTCGATGAAAATCCTCTGCTTCGTTTTTTGCGAGCAGTTTTAACCATCTTCCCTGGTCAGGACCCCCCCCCCCCCCAGCTATTGTTGCAATGTCTTTGGGCCCCCGGACCATGGACGCTGGTCGGGGGCTCAAAGACTTTTATGAAAAGGGAGAAATATGGCATGAAAATGGAGAATACTGAAAACACGGTCATATTCAAGGGAGGTGGTACTGGGCGCACCTACAACATCATCAAACTATTACGGACATGGATATACACATAAACAAATATTGACAGGTTTAAAGATGGAAGTAGGCACCTAAAAATAAGTAGATTGTTACACGTAATGTGATGTTGTTACACGCAATGTGAGAAAGCTCTTGTGAGCCTGAGATAACGGTGAAGTGGTGTTTTCAGTACAAAACCTCGAGTTGCTCCCCACCACTATTGCAAATGTACAGCAGCCCCAGACCGTATTGGTTCGGTCATCTTCGAAACATGAGAAGTTGGGTCTGTCGGCACTGAAGCGAATAAAAGCCCGGAACATTTCAAGCCATATATGAGAGTATTTACAGCCATAAATATGGAAACAATTGAGTGGGTAACAGCCGATGATGATATATTATTTCTGAAAAGGATCCGAGGTCGCGCAACTCTCCATTGAGCATCACAAAGCTGTGCTAGAGCAGGATGATGCCCCGACTGGAGTACGGCGTGACGGACCGCCCTGTTTACGAGCGTGCCGCGAGATTTCCATTCAGCGTGGGCCACAGTCGTTATCCCCCTTCAAATACTCCAGTCGATTGAGGTGGAGCGACACCTGTTAAATTGACTTATATGGCCTTGGTTAAATCAATATTTGACGTTACTGTTAGGTAACTAGATCAAGTTTTTCTGATTCTCACCGGAAAACAGTGTTTTGCGATTTTTTCTTGAGGAATGGCGTTTTCCATACAGTTGAAAAAGCCAGTTCACAAGGTTTCTCTACTGGATAGGGTCACCTACCTTGCTCATCACTATCATTTGCAGTTTTTGCCGCTTCGTAATCAGATAGCTTCGACAAGAGACCGTATGGCGGCTTGTACACCTAAGTCATTGACTTCTCAATACATTCTACCGCTTACTACATTTGGTTAAAGGACAATTTGAGTTTGTAACGGCAGACAGGATATCACGCTGTTCTAATAATTGCAACCCAATGAATCCTCACGCACTAAATGCAGGACAGCGTGCGTATTCGATCAACAGCAATCAACGCCCTAACTGCCCTGGATTCGTGACCGCCAGCACCTCCCGCCACTGACCAGGCATGTAGCCGCCCCTGCGAGGGGTGTCCCGCACGCATCTCGCGATGGCTCGCCACCCACAAGGCTCCCCCACCGCCCGGAAAATCTGCCGTTGAGAACTGCATTCGTAAGTCGATGACTGGATAGTGTAGAATCCGACTGGCTAATAACCCCAAGCGTACGCCTGGATTGAAAACAGGTCAGACAACTATGGCTATTTGAAATAAATTGTAGCTGCAGTCGAGCCACCAGTCAAATCAGACATGCTGAGTCGAACTGGCCAGCTCTCCTCAGCTCAAGCCGTGACTGTCACATTGTAACCGGGCAGAGCAGCCACAAGCAGCGCCTGGTTATACGATTGCCATTATCACCGTCCGTTCCAGTGCCCAATGAGGGCCGCCGGCGTTTCGGACGGGCGCAATTGCCGGGCGCCTCTACGCCGATTGGCCAGTGCCATCGATGACGTCACGAGCATCACTACGCTCCGCCCACCAGTGAGGGCCGGACATCGGAAACTCGCATCGGGGAGGCGTTTCACTTGGGGAAACGGACCAGCCTGACCTAGCCGTCGGGGCACCTTCGACAGAATCAGCTTCTCGGCAGCTCTTCACACCGCTCACGCAGCATGGTCGCCAGCCAGTGCGGCTCGAAGCCGGCGGTGTCCGTACCCTCCTGCGAGCGTCGCCCGGAGGCGACCGGCAGCCCCAGCCTGACGGTGCCGCCGGGCGCCGCCGAGCAGACACCGGCCGGCGGTGGGCCGGCGCCCCCGGACGCCGGCTCAGCCAGCCCCGGGCGCGCCGTCGCTGACGCCCACCTCGGACGACTCGCCGGCGGATTTCCCGCGCTTCCACTTCAGCCGGAGGTGGGCGGCGGCGGCGGGCGGCGAGCGGGCGGTGCCACCGCCGCCCGCGCCGCCCCACTCGCCGCCGCTGACGCCGACCGGCGCGCCGCCGCCGCTGCCGCCGGGCCTGCCGCCGCCGCCCGGGGCGGCGCCGCCGCCGCCGTACGAGCCGGCCCGCGTGCCGTACTTCCCGTTCATGCCGTTCCACTCGCCGGAGACGCTGCGGCCCTTCGACCTGCACTTCGGCGGCCTGCCAGCCTTCTGTGAGTACGGCCCGGCTGGAGGGACGCAGCCAGGAATCCGTCACCGGACCAGGGAGCTATGGCATTTCGGGTGGATGTACACGACTGGTCGCATTTAATTTGTAATAGTATCTTGTGGGTCCTGCATCCACAACTTCTAGTCGCTAAAGCCATTTTAGGGATGTCCTGGGATTCCTGGAATTGCGTCCGTTACATAAGGTGATTTGCATCGCTTTCGTAGTGGCTTAGGAACGTCCGCAAAAGTGGAGTGCTAACCTCCTTCCTGACCTTAAGGCTTACGTCGGATCTTGTCGTGCCTTTCCCTAGTACTGATGTCCAGTTATTGCGAAACGTGTGAGGTCCAAGGCCACCGACCGCGTCGGCTACCACGCCGTGTGTCGTGAATGTAAAAAAGTAGTCATCAACGGTCATCAAAAGGTTCAGTCATCAACAAGTCTGTTTTGTCATCAATGTCTTCGTACGAAGCATGGCTGACAAGAAACATGGTCAAGCAATGATCCAAACAGAAAACCCAAATGGAAAAAGTACAGCAAACTTGAAATGATAAAAATCATGAGGGGCGACGTAACAAAGACGAATGTCAAATTGAAAAAAAATCATGACGGCTTTTTTGCTGAAAATAACCATCTTCATAGTACCAGAAGGTACTGCGTGTTCCTGAGCATTTCTCATCTTCATTTCTTTTTGGTTATCATAAGTCATGTAGAAAAGTGGACCTGCCAGGCTGCAAAAAGTTGTCATTTTCCAAATTCAAATCATGTTGCTGCCGTCACATGACAGTTTTCCATGTGCCCGTAAAGCAAAGCTGGTTCAATGTATGAACTGAGTTGCTCACAACGGGTAATGTAAGATCATCCGCGGTCATTACATGATTTTCCATGAACTGACCTTGCGCTCAAAACTCCTGATGGCAAAACGACAATCATAACGATACACCGAGGAAGGATTGCTGACTTAACTAATCCCCTTTGTTATTGATCTGACATGGCCTGTGTTTCAAATAACCCCTAATCACATTCTTTATAAGTCCACCCTGCACAACTAGTCCATGACACTCAGGCACATCAATGTTCACAGCATGCAGGCGATTAATTTCGGTCCATTACAGAATGACTGTGGTAGGGCTAAAGCGATGTCACTTTGACATCGATGACCATTACCAAAGATATGGATATCATTGCTGTACACTACAGGACCACTTCGTGCATGCCGAACCATGTGAAAAATTATACGCACGGAGAGCCACAAGAGCGTCACAGGGCACATATTTTCCAACATTTTACCGTGCAGACCCTTGAGAACCAGGTCATCGACCAGTGACCTGACGACACGGCCGACAGTGGCCTGAAATTTAGTAACGAACGATTTCAAACTTAT